ATCTTTACTATATGCCTGCAGTTAAGATAGCGGGGTCTTGTTGTACATCCTTTCAGATGTTATCTACCTGGAGACATTTGCAGTCAGGAGAGAAATAGCTCCATAAAGTCAGGTAAGTGCCTTCAGTTTCAGTGAAAACAAAGATGCAGTGGCTTGGAAAAGTCAGTACAGAATTTCCATTTTAATACTTGGGAGTGTGTCTTAAATCTGTATAACTGGCTTCTTCTGGGAATTGAGACCTATTTCACTTCTTAGTGAATGATAGTCCTGCTACCAGTGTTCTTGAAGGCTTCGATCAGTAGTTTGTGTTGTTGCTGGGGACTAAATAACAAATGAAAAAATTGTTCAAATATAAAGCACAGAAATACATTAAGTTTCACTGGACTGACAGCAAAGGCCACCAGCAGTAAAAATGAACTGCTAAGTTTTTGCAGTTCCCTAAAATATGTAACACATGGATTCCTTGAGATTATTCTTTGCTAGTAAGTTGGCATCCTAAAACACTCATCAAAAAGAAAGATGACATTATGAATTTATTTTTTTCAGAATTCTTAGTCCTGTTTTTTGTCAATAAACAATGCTGTAAAGAAAATCAACCCCCTCCCCCCAAATGTGGCATAATGATAAAGATTGGATTTAAAACGCATTGATCGGATATCTGTGATCCAGTGTGCTGAGTAATAGTTTCAAAAAAGCAATGACCAAAGAAAGGCAGAGCAGAGGGAAGCCTAGCTGGGGAAAAGTTACAACTTGTGCATACGTGAACGGTCTGTGGGGGTGCTATACATCTCCCTGGGAGGCTGTGCTGGATGCGTAGATCTGGGGAAAGCCCTCACCAACAAACAACAGACAATGTACCTGCCTGGGCCAGGCATGAGTGGCCACCTCTCACACAAATTACTTTTCCTTTTCCATAGTGGGTCAGGAACCCAGAGGCACTCTAGTGCTGAGCTACATCCCCATCCCGGCCCCTTTTTATTTTTTATTTGAGACAGGATCTCACCAAGTTGCCCAGGCTGGCCTGAAATGTGGGACTCTTCTACCTCAACCTCCCACCTAGCCGGGGTTACAGGCAGGCAACACCACACCTGGTTTTTTGTTGTTGATGTTGTTGTTGTTGTTTTAAGAAAGCAACAGAAAATGTTTAAAATGACTATCTGGCCCTTCGTCCTCTCAATTTTAGCATCAGCCAGTGTTACCTACCCTTTCACTGATACTCCCACTGTGGCTCGGACGAGGGTCAGATTTTGTTCGGTATTTGCAACAAAAATCCACATTCAGTAGTGGGTGGAAGACATTTCAAGGGGAAGAAGGAGCCACTAATTACTTATTCACAGGCTCTCACTGTGTATCCCAGGCTGGCCTTGAACCTGTAATCCTCTTGCCTCAGTCTCCCAAGTGTGCCACCGCCCTCGTGTGCCCTCACACCTGGCTCCTCTAATAATTGAAGTAGGGAGAAAGGCTCAGGATTTAGAGAACTTACTCTTGATAGATGAAATGTATACCTCAGTTCTCCTTTCCCTGGCTGGGAGTTTGCAGTGCTTTGCGATACGGTAGTTCAGGACCCAGGTCACTGTGACACAAAGGGAGCAGCACTGAGGGCTTCAAAGTCTCACTTGTAAAATGGGGAAAAGATGCCCTAATGAGCTTTTAAACTCTGTCCTGCCTACCTATCCCATAATTGCTCTCTCGTGTCATGGAAGTCTCTCTTAATTTAATCGTCACAAGAACTCTTCAAAGTTGTCGTTCCCATTATATAGATGAGGACACTAAGCCTTAAAACAAAAAGAAAATCTTACCCAGAATCACAAAGTAGTAAGCAGCAGAGTTGGGATGAAAATTTGGATCCGATTGTAAAGCGTTATGGGGTAACTGCGTATGTAGCTTTTCCACTTTAACCTAAAACAGTTCCCAGCTCCTTTCCATGGCCTGTGTTCCAGCTGACAGCTCCCGGCCCTGTTTGAATAGTTTCAAGTCAATCCTTAGGGGAGCAAGCCTTAATTATCACTGGAGGACGAAAGGCTGCATCTTCAAGGAATCTGGCAGACCTCAGCAGGACGCAACCACAGGTCTTTGGCAGAAGATCGCTTTTCACCAGCATTGTCAATTCCGGCAAGGCTCGACCTTCCACCTGCAGGTCCTGAACAGCGGCTGTTCTCCGGGAAGCAGTGGCAGTCTGTCTTCCTGTGAAAGGCAGATGCGGGCCTCCCTCCCTGCCGCCCGCTGGGACTCCACCTGGGGCTTCATCTCCAGAGCGGGAGGTCATTTCCCAGATCGAGAAATTAAGAAACATAAAAGGGGAGGGGAGGACAACAGGCCCTGAAGTCTCCCTTTTAATATAAGCCAGATTTAACATGTGTCGTTCTACAAACCTGGGAGTCCCATGTGAACCTCCCGGTTCCATGCCAGCACGTCAAGCTAACCGGCGGAAGACAGAATTTGCCCACTGTGCACCTGCCTGTTGGTTCCCTATTGTAATTTTTATTTGTTCTGTGCTTTTTAAAAAGTCAACTGGATTTATCTTTAAATTAAGTTTCCCCGACATCAAAGGGACTAAGAGGAGGGTGTTTATTATAAAGAAACCCTGTGTGATCTTTTGGAGCTGTGTTCTGTGTTCAGGACACTATCAGTAAATAAATGGCTAGGGGACCTTTCATGGCCAACTTGCTGTATTTCTCTGACCTCAAACTACCCCTGTGGGTGAGAAACCCTTTTGCAAGGGGATTTGGAAGCCCCTCTTTCCTTCTCTCAGCCTCTTAATCTAATCCTGTTTGTAACTTGACATCTGCATGGAGAATGGGACTCTTGGGCTTCAGTTCCTACCCAACTCCCTTCTGAAGGCAGCTCCCTTCCAGATCCGGGCAACTCTTTCAGGCCAAAAAAAAAAAAAAAAAAGAGGACCATTTGGTTCATGAATCATTTACTGAATAGGCAAAAAGTTTATATTTCAAGTTTCTCTTTGAAAGAATGGAAGGTGCCCCTGGAAAGAGTTAATGTTTTGACACTAGTATTTTTTCAACCCAGATACTTATATGAAATGTGTTTGTTTGTTTATTGGCTGTGGAGGAAATTTGTGGTCCCCTGTTCTAGACATTTTTAAATGCTGCATTTAGCATTGACGTCTACGCTAGCTTTTTAAATGCTAAATGTATCAAAACAAGAGCAGCGCTGTGAGTTCCATTTACAAAAGAGAAGCTGAGCCTCGCTGTGTAACACTGTCCCTTTACACAGGCACCCGCTTACACTTCTGGGTACAGCTTGCACGCTTTGGGGGATGATGTCTTCTGAGTGTACTTGAAGTTGACGCCTCAGGTCAACATTCATACTGACTGACCATCGGAATAACTTGGGGTAACAAGAAGGCCCATGGTGCTGTTCTAGCACTTACCATAAAGGAGAGCTCTGCAGCTGGCAGAAGGAAATGTGTGACAACAGGCGGCATGGCATGTATGTGGCTCAGTGCATGTGGGAATGTCTCCAGGTACAAAGCTTGCATCTCAGAAGCTCCCAGGTTTTCCCTCATGGGAAATCCGCACCCCACAGCCTCAATAGGGTCATGCTGAAGTCCCTTACATCCCTGGGCCCGTGACTGATCATTTCTCTAGTTTTATAATATGAATGATGGCCAGGGGTACCGTTTAGTTACCCTTGTCTACAATCCTTTCTTCTCCGGTGGGATTTCCTGTAACAGATGGGCAGTCAGATTTCCCAGTCAGCACAGACTGTCCATCCTGTAAGACAGGCTACTGGTGAACTTAGGGCTTATACCACAGCATTCAGAGGTAGGAAGCCTGCCTCATTCACTTCACTCTTGGTTCATTGTGTTTCAAGAAAGTGAGCTTTGGAGTCCAGTCTTGATTCTACCTACTAATTCTGTTCATTGGAGCAGTTACTTAGCTTTACCAAGACTTGGTTTTCTCATTTATGAAGTGGGGATGATAGACTTATTTCCCAGAACAGCTGAGAGAGTTGCATGAGTTCACATATATAATTACTCCACATAATGCCACACAAATGGCAAATATGTCTATATGTTTAATGACACTTAAAGGGAAGGTTCAAACAGATTACTGTCTAGAGGAGAGTTCAGTTCAAGGACAAATACCTCTCAGTGTGAGAACTGCTCTAGCATAGGTCTGCCCTTTTGGGAGATGTGGTAACATCTAATGGTCAAAGCAGTTGGCAAAACTTAAAGAGAAGTGACATCTTTTGAGGGTCCCGAATGGGATGCGTCTTCCACCAGCTGGATCTTTGCAATAGATTAAATGTAGGCTTGAACTCATGTAGAGCATGAGATCTACTTGTACAGCAGGAAGATCTACTTCTCTGTGGTTTGCAGAACTGTTGCCCGGTACCATATTGATTTCTCTATGAAATGAATAGCGTTATGGTAGGCATGCATATCACAGAAGTAGTCCCAGTTATAATTCGAGTAAATGTAATGAAATCAATGCTTTTAGTGTGTAAGAGTAAGAATGCAGAAAACACTCATACGTTTATGTAAACTCCTATGGATGCACATGGATAGATAGCCCACAAAATGCTTTAAGAAATCCAAAAGGGAAAATGTGTTAAACTTGTAATTGTTCACCGTTCCACATATTTGTGACTATATTTAATAACATAATTGGCAGTAAACTTTTTATGAGTTAGCATCACCTCAAGAACATTCTCTTCTACATTAGTGAGTTTTCTCTGTAGATGTGTAACATCATCTTGATGCGTTCCTTGCATTTTTATACATTGAAGCCAAATGAACTTGTGCTAAGTACATGTTCAGCAGCCAGTCCGGGCATACCTTGAGAGGATATATGCTATTTGGGGTGGTGAGGAGTTCGGATCTCCTTATAAGCACAAAGAGGAGACATTTGGGAAAGAAGAATGCTTTAAAGGTGTCTAAACTATCTTTCTTACGTGATTATTTCATGAAGTTTAATTTGCTCCTTTCAATTAATAAATAAAACATATACATAGTAAGATTTCTTTCTGGGTATTTTCAGAACTCCTAGTTATAACTATGCACCAAATATGGATAAACACTGGATTATGCAGTACACAGGACCAATGCTGCCCATCCATATGGAATTTACAAATGTTCTACAGCGCAAGAGACTCCAGACTTTGATGTCGGTGGATGATTCTGTGGAAAGGGTAAGCCCTGGCCTGTCGCAGGGACGGGCTTTGTCTGACTTCCTTTGTCTTGCCATGCTTGTCACTCCTGCTTGTTTATTTCATGTCCAAGCATCTTGTCGAGTGTGTTCTGTGACTAACCCACACACCCCAATCCTATTTCTCCAGGTTGAGTTCTTGCTAGTGATGGAGAGAAAAATAAAAACATCATAAGTTAGAGGTTGCACCTTCCAATACCTTTAGAAATCAATCAAACAACGTAAATGACTAAAGCAGTAGGGATTGTGGAGACTGTGAGGAACTTAGTAATTGTCCTATCTGATGCAGCAACAACTACTCAGCTCAGGCTAATTTTTGCCATGTAGAAATGGGAATCAAGTATCATCTAGTTTTCTGGCTTTTTTAAAAGAAGCCAGAAACACAAATATTTTTATTTGAAATTTCCCAAGTTTAAAAATCTAGCATAAGCCAAACAAGACAATCTGGATCTACCTGGATCCAGGTCAGAGGCGGCCTGTTTTTAACCCTTCACGGTTACATACACCAGTGATGAAATTAAATAATGCTTTAACAGCAGATTGTCAAAGTGAAATCTATGAGGTTTAGTGGTAGAGATTGTTCCGTGGCTTGTTGTTGTTTTGTTATTGTTGTTTTACCAAGCAGACAAATAAAACTTATACATAAAATGGGCCAGATTCGAAAAAGTTGTGTTTCATCCATATCATAAGGTGTCATCTCTCCAGGACTGGAGTGATTAGAAAATGTGTTTGTCAGCCTTATTAAAGTCATTCTTTTAGAAATAATGAGAAAAAGGATTTGGGAGAAACTGCCGCAACACTGTGCAGTGTTATTTCTGACATCCCAATTGGTCCTGCCATGGCCTGTGCTGTTTTTCAGCTGTACGACATGCTCGTGGAGACAGGCGAACTGGACAACACTTACATCATTTACACCGCCGACCACGGTTACCACATTGGGCAGTTTGGACTGGTCAAGGGGAAATCCATGCCATATGACTTTGACATCCGTGTGCCTTTCTTTATTCGTGGTCCGAGCGTGGAACCAGGATCAATGTACGTATTTCTGTTTGCATCTTTCAGCTGTTGCAGATCTTGTGGGTCCAAGGTAATTCAATTGCTAATCTCAGGGTCTGGTTTCTTTTCTAGCACAACTAGAAATGGTGTGGGTAGGTTGGTAATTTAGAAGCTGAAAACCTTTCCCCTCACCACACATTAAATTAAGCAACATTTGCTTTAAACAGGAAGTATAACTATCATATGACAAATTCTCTCAAATTGATCAGAAGTGTCATGTCTTTTTTTTTTTTTCTGGTAGCAGGGATCGAACTCAGGACTTGGAGCTTGCAAGGCAGGAGGCAGAACCACTGAGCTAAATCTTTTTGATCTGTGGATAAAGACAAAATAAAATCTTTGGGGACATTATCTTTACCTTCTCTGAATTAGAGAAGGTCACTTTTTTTTTTTTTTTTTTGGGTACTGGGGATCAAACTTGGAACTTTCTGCTTTTGAGGCAGGTGGCAGAACCACTGAGCTAAATCCCTGGCCCTACTGTCACTTTTTTAAATGATGAATGCTTAGCTGGGTGTGGCACACACACCTGTAATCTCAGTACTCCAGGAGGCTGAGGCACAGAGGATGAAAAAGTTGAATCCAATCTACACAATTTAGCAATATAGATCCTGTCTCAAAATTAAAAAAAAAAAAAAATTAAAGGTGTGGGATATAGCTCAGTGCAAAGGTCCTGGGTTCAGTTCCCAGTGTGACAATCAGTCAGATAATCCACACAAAAACATAGAACAATGTCATCCTCTTCGTATTTATTTTCATTTTTAAAAAATATTACTAAATCATTTTTAAAAGACAACTTTAAAATGTGTGATTTTCTTTTAAGAGGAGAGAGACTTAAGGCACTAGAGTTCTGTTTCAGTCACCTTGGGCTGGCACTACTTCCTGGAAAGCCACTGCTTTACATCTCTGTTTTCCCATCATAAAATGAGCGCCTTATGCCAGGCCAATAGTGTCAGAACATTTTGTATAAAATCAGATTATGCACACACAGGAATCACGAGAAGGGTAAAAGAGAAGAGTAAATGTAGAACCTCTTCTAACCCGACTCTGTGGTATAAGCACCCGTCTCAGAGTCCCTGATTCTGGACATGCAACATTGGTCTGGATTCTGCTACGCCTACCACACTACATCCTGGGCTGATGGAGGAAGAAGGGTTTCTTTTAAGATAGTTATGAAACCAACTGGGAATTGTTGTCTCTATAGTTAGAAAGCTTTGTGTTTCTAACACCAGGCTACCAAAGACTTGGCAGCGTTGCTTAGATTCAGCTCTAAAAACTGCTGATGTCCTTTGCTAGAATTCTGATGTTAAATCCCTAGTTCAGCAGAGGAGTTATGGACTACTTAGTATTAGAGGGAAGCGCACATCACACAGAAACCATGTTCTCAGCAGTGTCTGGTTTGGCAGAGTGGCCAGAGCGCAAGAAATGTGGGGCATCTCACCAGCCTGACCCAGTGAAAGTCGATCTTGTTCAGTGCTATTGCTGCTGACCCCTCGTCCACTCTGCCCAAATATCACTGCCCACCCCCAGAAAGTCGGGGAAGGATGAGAAGACCTGAGAGCTGAGGACTCACAGCTATAGAAGGAGCAATCTTAAATGCCACCTTCTAGTGGCTTTGAGTCCAGGTCCTAACCACCTGTCTCTCTGCAGAGTCCCACAGATTGTTCTTAACATCGACCTGGCCCCTACAATCCTGGATATCGCTGGGCTCGACACACCTCCCGATGTGGATGGCAAGTCTGTCCTCAAACTTCTGGACCTGGAAAAGCCAGGTAACAGGTGCGTCAACATTCCTTCTCCCAGCCAATCCTGAGTACATTGAGCTGGCGCCCAGAGCCAGCCTGCAGCTGAAAAAAGTGAAGGCAAAAGACACTTTGCCTCTGAGTGAGGATCACCCCAAGCTGAGCCTCTCTCGGCTGCTTGTGAATAACACATTGATGGAGATCTAGTCATGGTCTGTGGGAAGTGAGAGGTGTTCTTTAAATAAACTGTTAGCACAGATCCATTTGCAAAAGTTTCCAGATGCCAACAGTAAATATTACTATTTTGCTTTCAGGTTTCGAACAAACAAGAAGGCCAGAATTTGGCGTGACACATTTCTAGTGGAAAGAGGGTAATTACTGGTTCCTGGGGTGCTTCTGGGAACTAGTCCTAGTGGGCAGCTCTCCCTGCTGGGTATTTTTTTTTCCCTCCTTATTTTGGTTTACTGTGGATTTCATAAGCCTGGTCATAAGAATAAATGGTTTGCTGCCTCAGAACTATAAAGGATAAATATTATAAGACGGGCAACAGGTTTACTGTTCCCCCCTCAGCCTTGGTTCCTAATCGGACCATCCCTCCCACCTCCTTCTCTGAGTAGCCTCGAAGGCTTGGCTGGTACCCAGCTTTCTACTTCTTTTCCTTTTGTGCCTTTCATAGTTTTAAATATATAAGTGAATGCCATTGAAATTATTTCCATATTCACTTCTGGGTTTTCCCTTTTGATTCATTACTCTCATTGTCTTGTTTTCCTTCTGTATATAAATTCGGAGAGAGAAAAACTAATTGTGTTTTAATGAAAAGAACTTTGGGCATGTAAAACTAAACATTGACCAAAGTTTTAAATTTGTGTATGTGCTGCCGAAGTGAGCACAAAAGTTTTAAATTTGTGCTTTAAGGGGACAGGATGATTCTTCTTGTCCTGATGTTACAACTTTATAGAACCCGGCTTGTAATTTTCAAAGAGAATTCAGCAAATATTGAACTCCTGTAGACAGACCCTTAACATCCATGGCTTGCTATTTGAAGAATCTTGAGCCATGTGACAAGGAAGCAAAAGAGAATAGGCAACGCTGGGGGAAGGTAACTCAGCTCACTTCTCATATCAGAGCTTTTCTCCTTCTCTCAAAGCAAATTTTTACGCAAGAAGGAGGAATCCAGCAAAAACACTCAACAGTCCAATCACTTGCCAAAATACGAGAGAGTCAAAGAACTGTGCCAGCAGGCCAGGTACCAGACAGCCTGTGAGCAGCCTGGGCAGGTGAGTGACACCACTTCCCTTTCACATCATTCCTGCGCCTCTCCATTTCTAATGAAAAAGTCTCTCCGCATATAAAATAGTGTACATTTGTGTATGCAGCAGCTTTCCATAGTGATCCTGAGGACAAGCTCGCTGCACTGCCTCTCTGCAGACATAATTGTCTACCTGGTCCGAGCTGGAACTCCTCATCTCATCTCCGCTTGAGCTCCCTCCAGTCCACAAGATGATGCTCCTAGGGAGAGTTCTGTGCCCATAGACACTGCCTGCTTTTGAGGGGAAGGATCCTCAAAGAGCGATGGAAAGCCTGCCTAGTCAAGTCATGGGTACTTGCTGAGCGGTGAACCACTGCAAGAGACAGGATGCAATCTTTCCACCCAAGGCTACATTCAGATGTCATCTAACACAAAGTGTAGGGTAGACTCTGTGACCGACTTTGGAAAAGGAAAGCCACATTCTGTGTGTGTATCGTTTGTACCACTATTCATCAACGCTGACGTCAACCATTTCATTACAATGAATTCTTCCCATTATAGAAATATTACAGAATCTGGGACTACCAACCCCCACGATTACCAATATGGTGGCAAAATATCCTGTACAGTGAATTAACACTGCACTTAAGAAAAGTGAGGCTATACGTCACTAACATCACCAACACTGTTCGATTGAAATCTATGCTGACTGATAGGAAATCCGTAGAAGGTGAAAGAAAAGGCTGTCATGATGAGAGGGGAAACAAATTCTACCAAAATAATCAGGAAAGTAAAAAGAACAGCCTTTTATTAAGCATTCATCTCACACGAGACACAATACACTGGATGTTATACGTAGGTTTAATCCTCACATCTTTCCAGTGAGGCAGGCAGTGTCATTCCTGTTTCACAAATGGCAGCGGAGCAGTGGCGAAGCTGGAATCCAAAGGACCGTTGGCCGATTCCAACACTCAGGCCCCCAGTCTTCCAAGCTGAGCTACATTAACGAGGTAAAGAACTGAGATGTTCTCTGAATCTTTCAACTTCTCCCAACCTGTAGCCACTCAATCAGTCAGCACCAGTTCACGATATCAGACACATACAGTGGGCAGCCTAGTTATTCTCAAAATGCTCTCACTCATTGTACTTACTCTCTGCTGTCCAGTGCATCTACATAGATGATTGTGATAAACACCTTGATCCTAACTCTATTCCCTCGTGCTCTTCTTGTGCACAGGATCTCTTTGAAGTAGAAGAGGGTGGTGAGGAGAGAGAGTTGTTGAAGGAAGGGATAAAATCAGCCCTTCATGTTATTCTACTAAGTCTCGATTTTCAAGTGTTTAGTGGAGAAGCTTAGACCTATTCATTATGCTTTAATTTGAAGTCTTCAGATCTTTCTTACGGAAGCTCTAAGTATTATGAATAAAACCCCAGAATTGTTTTGTAGCTTTAAGATGGTTTTTATGAGGACGCCTCAGTAGGCTAATTTACTTTTATCCAAGAGCTGGAAATGTGTGGTGTTCATGCAAACTGATGATCTTGTTACCGTCTGAGCCCTCTTAGTGATGAGCAAGATGGCCATTTGGGAATAAGGTACACCGCCTGCCTACTTTTCAGTATATAATTTTGCGATTCTCTCCATATGGCTTATGCTGAAATTTTAATGTATGTCCTAAAGGACAAATATAACATAAACTAGATTATGGTGCTTGGCACACGCTTTGCCCTCGTGTGCCAAATGTAAACTATATTAAAAACTTAATTTTGCTTTTTCATATCTTTCTAAACTTATTTTACTCCCCTGAAATGTGTTTATGTATAGCTCCTTGGAAATTTCCTCCACTGATCTCCTTTAGAAGTTTCTGAGTAAGTGGAACAAAGAATTAGGCTCTGCCCACATGATGACTTTTTTCTATAAGATTTTTAAAATTCCGTACAAGTAAGCTGGAGAAGTGAAGACCTGAAGAGGCTACAGGGCCACCTTGAGCTGCAGGCATCAGGCTCTGCCCATGATGACTTTTTTTCTATAAGATTTTTAAAATTCCGTACAAGTAAGCTGGAGAAGTGAAGACCTGAAGAGGCTACAGGGCCACCTTGAGCTGCAGGCATCCACGGCACTAGTGAGTAGTTCCCCGAGTCTGGTCGCTAGGCTCCCTGCTAAGATGAGCGGGGAGCCTGTCAGAAACGCAAGTCCTCTGGCCACCCCAGACCTACTGTGTCAGAATCCCCAGGGGGAAGCCCAGAAATCTGTGTGGTAATCAGTCTCCAGGTGACTCTGAAACACATTTCTGACCCACTGCCACGTCAACTGAAGTCACAGCTCAAGACTCCGAGAACCTCAAGACAATTTTGAGTCCCTGCAACGTGGCTGTCAAATCTGTGGGTCCAACCTGATAGCTCTGCTGTGTTCAACAGAATCTTTACCTCTTGGCCTTTTGCTCTTTCTGTCTGGCTATTTGAAGATGATCTTTTTGGTGACAGCATCACTGAATTAAAAGAGAAGAGGCGTCCAAAATAATGCGGTTGTGGTGCTTGGCATAGAGGTGGCAGCTAAGGTTCACACTGACTGGCGTGGAGTCTGCTCTCTTGACACTGGCCTCACACCCGGCCGTGCCCTCCTGCTTGTCTTCCTCTTAGCAGTTGTAACTGCTGCATCGCTAAGACAGCACAGTCTCCGCTTGGACCCTTCATGGGACATAGAGGGAAAAGCCCTCACTCTGAGCCCCACTAATTCCCCAAGGAAGGTGTACATTCCGCCCTCTCATCCCACATCCATACCCGGCTAGCGTGAGCGTGGGTGCAGGAAGTAGAGTGAAGAAGGGAGGTCGAAAGGCTTGGGCAGGAACATCGGCAGCCAGCACTTCGCAACCGTGTGTCCTTGAACAAGTCACTTAATTTTTCCCGAGTCTGTGTCTCTGAAACGCAGGAAGTTCATTCACTCTTACGACGATTAAGTGCTCTCATCCCTGTAAAGTGCTAGGTGAGACATTATCATCTTCTCCGGCCGGTGAGTGTTGGGTGCTGCTATTCTTCCGGGCCGTCTTACCTGCTGTTTTCCTTTCTGTGAAACCAACAGGGGATTAAAATGGGCTGGAATCCCAGATGCTGGGCATCGCTTCCTGGCTGTGCATTGAGCCACCAACAGGGACTAATTAAGACGACATGGACATATGTGTTTGTATTGCTTCCATGTTTCTGAATTCATCCAGGACAGAGTGTGAATTCCTGCCACTTTCTCAGCTAGGCACTGCGTCCCAAGCACATTTGTGTACACACACAAGGACACACATGCACACTTGTGTGCAAATCAGCTTTTCCTTAAAAAGACTTCTGTTTGGGAATGAATAGATCAGCGCTGCTCAGTTCTGGCTACACATTTCAATCACCTGTGCGGACTTTTGAAAGCTAGTGGTATACTGACCTGCCCCAGAGCCAACCAGACGTCTCTAGATGAGGCCAAGGCCTCACTTTTTGTTGCTGTTTTTGTTGTTGCTACCTTGGTCTTGTTTTAACAGCGTTAAGAATCCCAGGCCTAGAATCGGAGAACGTCCATGCTAGAAAGAGTCCTAGAAACCTTCCAGCTGAAATGATAACATCTTCCTGATAAGGAAAGTTCGGTCCAGAAAAACTCAAGCTTAACCTACATCTCTTCACTTTACATTGTGTGCTTTCTTCCTTGTAACTTACGGCCTCCACAAACGTGAGACTTCTGCCTTTAACTCAGTGACTGGCATTTGTATCAAGGGCAGTTGCCACTGACAGCGATAGTCCTCAGTCGTGATTCCTTAACCAGGAGTTACATGAAAGAGAAACTCCCTGGACATCCCGTTTTGAAGTACATTTCATGTATTCTCTGGCATTTTGCAAGGGGAAAAAAAGCTTGATTTATTTTTGAGGGGCAAATGTCATGTTCCCTTCTTGAGCATTGTTACAATTTAGTTTGCCGTTCTACTATTTTATCAATACGAAGTCAGAGATTGGTTTAAAATTCTATAAGGTCCCCTGCATCAAGCAAGCTGATAGTATGTATTATAAAGGAAGGCAGAATGTAATTTTTTTAGTATGAACTAGGTTAGTTCCAGGATACATGTTCTCATTCAAAACTTATTCCTCTGACTGTATATTTATCCAGCCCTTTGTGACTACCTGCAGCAAATGCCTAAAAAGGCATTCACTAGTAAGATAAGCCAGAATTGTTAGTTCAACAGCAGCCAACAGCCTGTTTGTGGAAACTGCCTGAACGTTTGCTTAACCTTACTCTGCCTCAGTTTCCTTATCTGCAAAGTGGACATCGTAATACCCATGGCAGAAAGTTGATGTAAGGATTGTAGGCATTAAAGGTTAACTCATTCACCTAGAACAGTGCCTGATTATCCATCGCTGGCCAAGGTCAGTTGATCAGTTTTATTTTTCCTTCGATGCAAGAACCATATATTTCTTCCAACTTTCCAGCACCGATTATTTTACAAATGATTTTCCCGTTGACAATCTAAAGACAGAAACAAGTTTTCTCTCATTTCTGCTTCTTCCCTTTAACTGTCTCTCCCCTTCTCTGCCCATCTCAGCCGACTTCCAAAAGGGGATAAATCTCCTTGGCACAAATAATCCTACTTCACATTTGTAGAAAATTTGACAATGGCTTGAGCTAAGCAGCAGTTTGGAAGGGAATATCTCTATGATCTTTTCATATTCTCTAGTGTTGAGGTAGAAATTTAAATATATGAATGAATACAAATAACTTCTGGTGATGCTAATATCGGTATAAGGGATGATCAGATTACCACCAAATCACTGTAAAATTGTTCCATTTTAGGAAGCATGATCTGACGTGCACTACGACCAAATCCATATAAGACATGATAACAGAACATGTATGGATGCATAATTAAGCTTTAATTTGAAAAGGCCGTAGCCAATGTTTGGTTTCTTACACATGAAAACGGACATAAGTGGCGTACATAAGAACACAAAACACCCTTAGCCAATTTGTGGAACACATACAATTCAGAGATGTTGTAACTGAGTGAT